TCCCATGCATGTATGCACATCTCCTGCATTAACCACACACCCCCACATGCACAGCAGAGACCCAAAAATCAGCTGGCCAGGAGGCGGCACATACGCATGCGCGATATACGTGAGGTGGGCTGACGGCTCAAGTGCCCGTAGAGGGCTCATGCCACACATGCCATAGGTTCGCCATCACGGCTTTATACACATCCTTCATAAATGGTTGTCTAATATCAACCTCCAATGATGGAATAGCCATAATGTCAGGAAACAAGCTGTTCCACTGACTAATTGTTCTTACTGGCAGAGAATTGCTCCTTATTTCCAGGTTGGAGATCTCCTGGAAATGTGGTACTCCAGAGTGTTATACTCCCCTGTCTTTATATTTCTATGATTGAAATTGTCCTATAATTTGAAATTCATCTTTCTCCAACTTTTTATTGTAATAAGCAATTAGCAGTGAGCGGTGGATGTGTTACACTTCTAGATTACCTCCTGCAATCTGTCACAGAATTATTCAGCCTTTAACCACTACATCTATAATCATAGCATACAATTCTACAACACTTCTAAATGAATTAGCCACCAATTTTAGAAATATGATTCTGTTACTTATGAACTATGGAGAAAAACTTACTTAGCAATGTCAATTTTATGACTGCTATTCCATACCTTAACAAGATCTCATATCCTTAATAGTAACCATCCGATTTAATGCATCCCATTCCTATTCATTTCATTTCTGCTTTGTCAGCTTCAGTTTCTCCCTCAGTCTACCCTTCCCATTTCAATATTGGCATCATTATTGACTGTAATACCTTCTGACCTGAGAACCAACATTTGGCATTCAAACTTGTTTACCTGTTTCAGCTATCTCCATAATTTGTTTTCTTGAAAACAATTCTGAAATGGTTTCCCACTGCCTTCTTTTGCGTATCCCACTGCAGATAACATTTTATTTCAGTTCTCTTCTGACCTTATCAGCAAAGTGACTAACCATAAACCCACCTTTATTGCTCTAAGGATCATTAAAGCTATTGATCAATCTGTCAAAGGTCTAAGGAGAAAAAAGATACTCCAGCATCTATGATTTGCCTTGAGGAAATTTAGCTCCTAGTTAATGAAAATAGATTCAGTTATGAGGAAATGACTCCTTTTCAGCTCAGGAAATGCTTCTTCATTTATTTTCAAAAAAATAATATTTGATCTGCCACCTGATTATGTTATTATTATATTGTTATGATAATTGACTATTCTCATAAAAGAGTCCAAATGTCCCCTAAGAGCTTTAATTTTATTAGAAGTTTCTGGTACATTTCTCATTCATGTTAGGGCTCTGCATTTTAGTGCCTAAGATTAATTTAAACTGGAGATCCCAGGAAATGAATTTAGGACTTTCTGCAAAGAGAAAATAGGGTCTATCACTATCATAGTTCCAGGACTTAATCTTGAATATCTACTGTAGTATCATTTGGCATTAAACTATTGAGTTTTAAACCAAAATTAACGTTAGCATTATTAAGGTTGTTATATCTACATATTTTAAAAGTAGAAATTATCTGATCACATCTTAATCCCTTGTTGATTGATATATTAATTTTTCATAATTCAAGGTATACTCTGGGAAAGCAATTCATGTTATCTTGATGAACAGCAATTAATTAAAAAAATGGTTTTAATCTCAAGTGAGAATCATAACTAAAATAACAACAATTGCCTCTACTTTTTTTCTGATTTTCATGCCAAGTATTGAGGTACTTCATGCTACCACATAGTCCCTTACTTTTAAAACAAGAAAGAGAGCTTTGATTGGAATATAGAATAAAACTGCTCTGCTACAGAATTGTTGCAAGAAACATAACTGTAACCTGAAAGGAAATGGTATTGTCTGGCAGTATTGCCTCGAGCAATTAACATCTAAAATGCAATTATATTTATATATGTATTTTGCTAGTAACTTTTGGAATAAATCAAATTTTGCTTTTTGAAAATGGAGATTATTGGAGAAAATAAATTGTATACTCAAATTGTAACACAGATATAGGTAATATTGAACTGGACAAATTCAAATTAGGAATGATTGTTAAATGAATGGTAATAAGTTGAGGACTGTCTGTGTTTTCAAACCTTGGCTTGTGTACTAGGGATTTATATAAGTGATACCACTTTCCTCATTTCATAATGTCCATGAAAATGTTCTCTCAGATTGTTTGAATTATTGACTTCATTTAAAAAAGTGTTTTCCAGTTTGCAATCATATTTCATGTTCTGTTTTATTTTTAAAGGGGACACTAGGATTAATCTTATTTTCTTATGTGCAGTTTAATTTACTTCATATATTCATACTGTTTATCACCAGGAAATATACATCATTCAGTTTGAATGTTTTAAACCTTAAATTATATCTTCAATATAAAATATCTTCAGCCAAACTGTTGACTTTGCATTTGTTTGTCTTAACTGAATGGATATGATTGGCTATTCCTTTATGGAAGCAAAGCAAATAAATAAATAAATGAAGACTACATTCTTTTTTATTATATAAAAAATTGAAGTGTTTGGAATCAAAGCATATAGATTCTCACATTAAATAAGAAATGGCAATATAAAAAAATCCTCAAAACAGAAAATACAGTGTGTATGTGTGTAAACATGGGGTGTATATATCTCCCATATTTAGTATCTCTTTCAGTGACCTATTCAGTAAAATTAATCTTGTTCTAAATATTCAAAATATGAACTAAGTAGTGGGACTGTCAAAGAGAATAATTTCTAAAGGCCTGAGTATTTTTGATGCAAATAGAAAAATCCATACATGTATAAATCCATACCATATACTCTGTGTGTGTGTGTGTGTGTGTGTGGTGTGTGTGTGTATACACAGGGGTTGTGACACTACACACACACACACATATAGATACATACATACATACATACATACATACATACATACAT